TGCTGCTGGGTGCTAAGGCTGAGCAAGCAAACACTGCCAGGAAAAAAACGGGAGCCGAGGAAGAGAGAATGTCAGTTTGAGAAGCAAACGTGCGTACCAAGCTGCCAGTTATTGTGAACCAGGAAGCTGGTCGCCAGTTTACGTAACAAACCCAAACACTCTTCCATTTCCATCACGGCGGGCCCGATTCTGTCGCTGGTGTTTGCAGGAGGGAGCGATGACTCGAGTGAGCGATGACTCAAGGGAGCGGTGTGCCTGGCAGCTTGCACCAGCACGCCCGGCACAGCCAAGGCAGCGCGGGCGCACCCTGCACCCTGCAGCACCTGTGCATCCCCCCACCCCCTGCACCGGTGCCGCCCTCAGGGTGCCACTGGGAACCTCCTGTTTGGCACCATGCAAGAGGAGGACGGCTCCAGGCTGGGGGAAGACTACAGGTCCTGTGAAACTTGGCATAAACTGCAGCCCCTTTGCCGGGAGAAGAAGATGCTAGAGGGGAGGCAAATGTCCTGGGAGCCATGGATGGCCAGGGAGCTGCATGGATTTACAGCTGCTAAGAAGCCGCTAAGGTTTGTTCCAGTCTGCTGCTGTTATCCAGAAAGACTAAGAAAAACTTTTAGGGATGTTTGGGGCATGCTTCAGCTGCCAGTCCCTTGGTGGCATGGTCCTGTATGGAGAGTGTCTTACCTCTCACGCTTCTTAACCTGCATTTCTATAGTGCATCTGCCTGGCACATCCCTATCCAAACCAGTTAGACTTTACCAGTAAAAGGCAATACCTATAGTATGGCAAAAGATGTCCCAGTTTCTGCTGTTTCCAGTGACAAACCTAGGTTTGCTCACCCGCACCACCTTTTCTATCCTTTTCCTATCTCCATCACTTTCTTGAGCACAGTTTGACAGCCTGAAGTTACTGAATTGCACGAATAAATCACCTGCTGTTACCACAGCTGCTCCTTGCAGATGGACAGCCTCAAATAAAAACTGTATCGATTTCTTCTGCGAGACGATTATCACAAATATTGTTGTTCTTATATTATATGTGATTGTTTATATAAAGAGAAAGACTCCTTACTTCCTCCTGGTGCGTTCAGGAATTTGGCAGGCTCTGAAAGCGAGTCAGTGGTGCAAGGGTAATGCTCCTCGCAGGGAGTGTGCTTAGTGCTATTGCAGGAGATCACATTAGTGCTTTTGACAAGATCAAACAGAAAGTTCCAGCTGAACAATGACTTTTTAGGATGAAAAGCAAAATGTTAAGAAGGTGTGTACATCTCCGTGAATGTGCTTCATTTCACTCATTGATGTGGTGGTAACAGAACTATTTTTAGGTATAATCCTTCAAACAGAACATGACTTCTCCTTTCTGATTAGTACAAAGCTGGCTGCTAGTCAAAGGATAATTATTTCCCAACACATCACCTAACACACACCAGCAAACAAAACACTAATTATTTGAGCTATCCAACGTTAACTGTTTTTCAGCAGTTAACATTTTCTTGACGGCTCTGAACAGGACTAATTGCTCCAGCTTCATTAGCAGAGGTCATTTACTGCTGGTAACTACTTTTCTGGAGATAGATAGTCTCTCCTATAAGATTAGATTATCAGGTCAAATTCTGCTCCCAGTGGCAATGATGCCTGACCGCATTTGGCCTCAAGAAAGTCTGCTCTTTCAGTTCATAGCTGCACAATTTCCAGCCCAGCAGCTGATATATTACATAAAGGAAGTAAGTGCACTCCACCGGACGGGAAATTACAATAAATTAGGAAAGTGTGCAGCACAAGGAAGGTTTGCAAATTAGCCACTTAAAAGCTATTAATAAAACCTCAACTTCAGATAGGGTTTAGGGGAAAAAAAAAAAAAAGCTGATACAGAAGCTGTCCTTATACTTGAAAACATGTGCTTACCCAAAGGGGAAAGCAACGTTTGCAGAAGAACCAGTGTGTGCTGTATCACAAACACCCAACTGATGCCGTCAACTGCTGCGTGTGCCATGGGCACAGTTCAGATCACAATCTTAAACCACGTCTTTTGCATATAGTTTCACTTGTTCATCAGTTACTGCCTGGAGCTACAGCCAGTTGATGCCGAGGGTCGGGTCTCACAGCACAGTGAATTTGCAGGAGCACTTTTGTGCAGCTCTCGCCAGTGGGGAGGCCCTTCTGCAGGCACTATGACAGCCCACTGTGTGTCTGAAACATCCTTAACTTTCCTGAACACACGGAGATCTGAAGCCAGGCTTTCCATCTGATATATTCCCATTTAAGCACACGGAGAGATGCAGCCTTCTTTTCAGAAGTGCTGAGCAAACACTGCTTAGAGTGCGGCCGGCGCCTTTGAGAATCGGGCGTCTTGCATGTGGAAGTCTCAGGCACCCTCGCCAAAAAATTTTGGTCCTGGCAGACGTAGGACATTTTCTCCGAGCGGACTTCTGTTTTACCTGTGTCTTCCTTTCCTGCAGGCCTGCAGCTCTTTGCTGTTACTTTCCTGCCCATGTACGTGTGCAGCCGCATGCCTACCACCTATACTTTCTGACTTGCAGCTCCAATTGCTAATCCATGTCTGGTTTTCGTCAAAAAAAAATATTCATCGTGAGTGTTTGACTCATTGCCTCAGGAGTATTTCAGCTGCCCCGTAACACTTTTCAGAGTATCCTTCTTCTCTGCGGAGAACAGCCTGTTCTGAGAGTGATCCACGGCAGACTGCTCGCCAGCAGCTTCCCCTTCCTCGCACACATGCGTGCCATATGTCCTGCTCTGTCCACACCGTTACTCTGCCACCATCTTTTTTACATCATGCAAGATGGACTGGCATCTGCCATCCATGCTGCCAGGTGAATTATCTTAGCTGTCTACAAAGGGACTCAATGTGACAGCTTCCAGACTCTTCCAACAAGTCCCTGACTGGCTAAAACTCAATGGCAGACAAATCCTGACCACTTTGCTCACACAGCTGGCCCTACTGAGGCTAACAGGCAAAACTCATCCTACCTTTCACCTTCTCAGTGCCATTAGACATGTCAAGGGGAAGCACGACCCAACACAGCTATTAGGCAGGAGAAGCTGAGCAAGTTCTGGCGATAAATTTCCCACCTAAGTTGGACCCTGTTGAGCTAAAACTTTCATCACTTTTTAAAGTCTAAGGACACGAGCATTCAAATGGTTAAAATTAAGTATATGAACCGATTTATGAGAAAATGAGCCAAATCCATTAAACTGTCCCACCCCATGCACTAGGGACCATGTTTCCCCAGGATCCAGCACCCTGCTGAGGATGAGGGCTTGACAGCCACTTCAGCTCCCAGCAGGGCGCTGGGGCTGGATCCTGCCCTGCTCTACCTAGCAGGCAGGGACTTGGTCCTGCCCTGGCTTGCTGCGATCCCCAATGCGCAGTTGGAGGGCAGCGGTGCCTCCCCATCCTGTACCGACCCCAACGTGCGCTGCCAACATCTTGTCGCAGTCACTGGCATCAGACATCGCCATCCTGTGCACCCTTTTGGTCCTGTTGTCTTTGATGGAATCACAGACAAAACGAGATTTAAAAAAAGAACAAAAAAATGTTGGTGGCAGAGCCTTCTTCACTTAGTACCTGATCTGACATCACCCCAGCATTTTATGGAGACCTTTTCACTATTATCGAGGGAGACACCATTAACTGCAGCTCACATCAAACCCCAGTAACATCAATGGAAAAGTATTATTTACTTCCCTGGTCCCTTTATTTTGTCCTTGCATAAAAAGCGTAACTTTTTTTCCCCTAAAAATACACGATTAGAAATTGCAACGGACAAATTCCTTAATTTTTAAAACATAAAAAATGATCAAAGGGTTTCAAAATTAAACTGTTGGCCACCACCCTAAAGACCTCGCTTTGGGAAGTGCTCTTCCTGGAAGCTTATTTCTAATTTAACTATACTTCTGAGTTTAATAAACCTGAAAATGGCTTCACTTTATTCTGTGCTGCCTTTTCGTTGCTCTGTCTGCTATGTATTCATTGCAGTAATGAAAAACTTTATGAAACCACAAGGATAGAGTGTACCTTCATAAAGCAATAAAGGAAGACAATATTTTGGACCAGGGACGCAAATCTGCAGCCCTCCTCTTCGCAGCACCTCCTTACTTGGATCAGTCCACAATATAACATTCAGTTATCATAATGTGGTTCCCAAGGAATATGTATGTGACTGTCAGCAGCACACTGAAGCCACACTGCACATAACCATTAGCTTTATGATCTACAAACTAGGTAGTTTTGTTTCACCCAGTGACAGGGAAGAGGTTTCAGCAGTGTTTAAGTCTGTCCCAGAGTCCAATTCTGCTCCAGTTATGCCCCAACCCTTCCCTCAGAGGTTAACTCCATTTTTACAATAAGAGGGAACCAAAGTCTGGATTCCTGTGACTGGCTCCCTGGCTGCCATCTCCCCTTACAGGACACAAGCCTCCTCCAGCTGCTTTTTGGGTAGGGGTCTCCCCCAACCTCCATGCTCAGCACCAGGACCCGGTCCTGCTGAGCACGAACCACCCACCTTGCTCGGGCAGGATCAGGCCCACTGTTGGCATGAGGCAGACTTACTTGTGGGGTGGTGTGTACTGCGTATGGAGATTTCTTTCTACTTGAGACCATTTTTAGCTTTCAAATTAAACACCGTCTGTAATCTTAAATATTCTGGTCTCCTGACTCCCAGCTTCGTACTCCTAACTCCTAAAAAAAGAGAATATATTCCAGAAAGGGATAGTTACAGAAAATTAGAGTATTCATTATCAGAGTGGAAACACCTTGTCATCAGCTATTAATTTTAAGGGAAGTCAGCAGACCTCGGTGCAACAGGAACACAACCTTATTGGGTTTCAAACACGTTTTTTACAATACTGTGTCAGGAAAAGCCATTAAACAGAGTTGTATTGGTAATCTGAGCCATCTTTGGAGAAAAACAAATGCTGTTCTTCCCATTATAGGTAGGTATTGTTTCAAAACCTATAGAGACACGCTTGCTTGTGCTCCAATGGTATTTATTGCACATAGACCAATTACTTACACAGTAGTAAATTGCACCAGAGTATAAATATGTTATAAAACACACACAGAGAGGAAAATGGAAATGACACACAAGTGCTAAAATAACAGCAGATTCACGTGGGCATTTGGAAATAAAAATAAAAATAATAAAGTCTCTTAAGATATTTTAATTTATAATATGGATATATTTACAGTACCTTCATAAAATAATATTAAAAAAGTCACTCTCTCAATAAAACTATAACAGATCAGACAAAACCAGAAATCAGGTTCAGGGTCAGTGTTACTCAAACCTCTGTTTCATTTTTAATTTGCGTGTGTATGTGTGTGCAAGTATCATCTTCAAATAACTTTACAACTCCTAACACTGTGCAAAAAAATGGCTTTGTCGCCATTTTTTTAAAAATGTGCAGTAAATTTCTGTTGTTGCCAGGATTTTTTTTCCCCCCTGTTCATCTGTAATTACAATGAACAAGCTGCAGAAGGTTTCTCGCCCCCCTCCCCCCCCCCTTTTCATAAAATACTATTAGTGGTATGTAAATATGCTGTTTAATATAAACATGGTCCGTTTATTCCCCTGTACAATATGCACAGTTTGAGGTAGAAGTTTGTCAGCCTGACTGCTATTCTCTGGCCGAAGGAGATAAGCACAATAACTCACTGCCTGCTGATGCGGAGGGAAAAAGCACAAGAGTGTGGGTTGGGGTTTTTCACCCCCTTTCAAAATATACCTGTACTCCTCATCACTCATTATTTTTCTCCATCGCTACTCTGCGGAAGAGGGGAGCACAGCTATCCCGAGCTTAAAACTCATCCTGCCCGCAGGTGCGTACTCTCTGCCTGGAGCACCTGCAGCACAGACCCTGTGCTCCCCAAAACCTGCCCGGGGCTGCGGGAGGGAGAACGAAACCCGGGGTGTCCGGCGGCCCCGGGCGAGGCGGGGGACGGCTGGGAGCCCGGCCGCAGCCGGGTCGGCAGCCAAAGGCCCGCACCTCCATCCACGCTCAGGTTCAGCCACCAGCACGGTCCCGGGACAACTCACCCGCGCGAAGGGCGTTGCTGCCACAGCCCCTTCCAAAAGCGCTTCTCCTAAATGTAAGCCGGCTGTCTTTGGGACGGGCTGTTTATTTTCTTTGTTCTCTGGTCAGAGGGTTTCCTGTTTGCTGTAGTTTCGGATGAGGTATGTCATACACGAGTTCACCTGCTTCTATTCCTAAGTAAACACCCGCTCTCTCCCCGCTAAGACAGGGATCAGTTTTGCTGGGCATTAGCCTTACCGCCAGGCAGCTGCTGGGGATTTCTCTGCTCCTGCGTGTCTCCCTGCCTGCCTTTCCCCCTGCCCAGGAAGGACGCGGCCCCCCACACCCCCTCCCCTATACCTTGGACTCCGAATCGGACGTTTTGCTATTTCTTTCCTCCAGGCTGGACTCGCTGCCGCCCCGCGTGCCCCCGTTGCAGTCAGACCAGGTCCCTCCCAGGCTGCGCTCGGGGGAGCCCACGGTGCTGATGAAGCCCCCGGGCAGCGGGGCCAGCTCCCCACCGCTGGCGTGCAGCCGCCGGTCAGCTTTCCAGGGGCAGCAGAGCAGCCTCTTGAAGGCCTTACGGAAGTCGGGGCTGCGGCAGTAGATGATGGGGTTGAAAGCGGAGTTGGCGTAGCCCAGCCAGTTGAAGAAAACAAAGAGCCAGTCCGGCACCAGGTCCCTGTTGAAGACGTTGACGATGTTCACCAGGAAGAAAGGGAGCCAGCAGAGGGTGAACACCCCCATGATGATGCCCAAAGTCTTGAGGGCTTTCTGCTCCTTCATGGCCATGATGCGGGAGGTCTTCCTCTTGCTGGCTCGGCCGTTGCCGAGGATGGGCTGGTGGTGAGGGTGAGGGGGTGGCGGCGGCTGTGGCTGCTCGTGGCTGCTGTAGAATCGGCCCTCGCACTTATCGATCTTCCTGATCTGCTCCTTGGCCTCCCTGTACACCCGGAGGTACACAAAGATCATGATGAGAAGGGGGATGTAGAAAGAAATGATGGACGAGGCGATGGCATAAGCCCTGTTGGTGACGAAGTCGCAGCAGCCAGGGTCCTGGTAGCACTCCAAGGCCTGGGGGTCCTCGTCCCGCCACCAGTGCATCATGATGGGCAAGAAGGAGACCAGGGCTGAGATGGCCCAGACGGTGCAGATGATGCCCTTGGCCCGGCCCTTGGTCATGAGACTCTGGTAGCGGAAAGGCGAGGTGATGGCCAGGTAGCGGTCGATGGCGATGACGCACAAGGTCTCGATGCTGGCCGTCACGCAGAGCACGTCCAGGGAGGTCCAGCACTCGCAGAGGAAGGATCCCCAGAGCCAGGTGCCCCGCACCACCAGGGTGGCCCCGAAGGGCACCACCAGCAGCCCCATCACCAGGTCCGCGCAGGCCAGCGAGGTGATGAAGAGGTTGGTGAGGGTCTGCAGCCGCTGCGTGCGCCCGATGGCCGCGATCACCAGCACGTTACCGGCCACGATGAGCAGCACCACCAGGGCCATCAGCAGGCTCATGCCCACAGCCCACTGCTGCGACAGCAGCTCGGCGG